GATGTATTAGTTACTCAAGCTGCCATAAAATATGACAGACTGGATGGCTTAAACAACAGAAATCTATTTTCTCACAGTTCTGGAGGCTAGAAGTCCATGATCAAGGTGCTGTCAGGGTTGGTTTATAGTGTGATCTCTCTTCCTGGCTCCTATGCAGCTGCCTTTTCCCTCTGTCCTTGCCTGACTTCTTCTCTTTACACACACAGAAATAGAGAGCTGTGATGTCTCTTCCTCTTCTTACAAGGATACCAACCCTATAGGATTAGGGTCCCACCCTTCTGACTCATTTAACCTTAATTACCTCCCTAAAGGCCCTATTTCCAAACCTAGTCACATTGGGGGTTAGGGCTTCCACATATGGATTTTGAGGGGGACACAATTCAGTCCATAACACATGGATATACCAAATTTTGTTTTGAATACCAAATTTTGTTTATCCGTTCATCAGTTGATGGATGTTTAGGTTGGTTCCACTTTTTAAAAAAAATAAATTTATTTACTTATTTATTTTTGGCTGCATTGGGTCTTCATTGCTGTGAGTGGGCTTTCTCTAGTTGTGGTGAGCAGGGCTACTCTTCTTTGCAGTGCACAGGCTTCTCATTGCGGTGGCTTCTCTTGTCGTGGAGCACAGGCTCTAGGTACATGGGCTTCAGTAGTTGTGGCATGCGGGCTCAGTAGTTGTGGCTTGCAGGCTCTAAGGCTCAGGCTCAGTAGTTATGCTGCCTGGGCTTAGTTGCTCTGCGGCACGTGGGATCTTCCCAGACCAGGGCTCAAACCCGTGTGCCCTGCATTGGCAGGCGGATTCTTAACCACTGCGCCACCAGGGAAGTCCTGGTTCCACTTTTTGACTATTATGACTAATGCTGCTATGAACATTCATGCCAGGGTTTTGTGTGGATATATTTCATTTCTCTTGATTATATAACTTTGAGTGGAATTGCTAGGTCATATGGTAATTTTATGTTTAACTTTTTGAGGAACTGCCAAACTGTTTCCACAGTGGCTGCACCACTTTACATTCCCACCAGCAATTTATGAGGGCTCCAGTTTCACAACCTCATGAACAGTTGTTATTGTCCTTTTCTTTTTTTTTTTAAATACAGCCATCCTAGTGGGTTTGAAGTGGTGTCTTATTGTGGTTTTGGTTTTGATTTGATTTCCCTAATGAATAATGATGTTGAACATCTTTTCATGTGCTTATTGGCTATTTGTATATCTTCTTTGGAGAAATGTCTGTTTGAGTTATTTGCCCATTTTTTAAAAAAATAAATTTATTTATTTATTTTTGGCTGTGTTGGGTCTTCGTTGCTGCGCACAGGCTTTCTCTAGTTGCGACAAGTGGGGGCTACTCTTTGTTGCGGTGTGTGGACTTCTCATTGTGGTGGCTTCTCTTGTTGCAGAGCATGGGCTCTAGGCGTGTGGGCTTCAGTAGCTGTGGCTCACGGGCTCTAGAGCGCAGGCTATTGTGGCACATGGGTTTAGTTGCTCTGCGGCATCTGGGATCTTCCTGGACCCATGTCCCCTGCTTTGGTAGGCGGATCCTTAACTGTGCCACCAGGGAAGCCCTATTTTCCCAGTTTTAAATTGGGTTGTTTTTCCTTTTGTTTTTGAGTTGTAGATCCTTATAGACTGTGAGTACTAGATTCTTATCAGGTTTATGATTTACGTACATTTCCTCCCATTCTGTAGGCGGTCTTTTCAGTTTCTTGATAATGTCCTTTGATACACCCTAAAGTTTTTTATTTTGATGAAGTCCAGTTTATTTATTTTTTCTTTTGTTGTTTGTGGTCTTGGTGTCATATCTCAGAATCCACTGCCAAATCCAAGCTCATGAAGATTTACTCCAATGTTTTCCTCTAAGTTTTATAGTTTTAGCTCTTAAATGTGTACCTTCAATCCACTTCAAGTTGATATTTTGTATATGGTGTGAAGTAAGAGTCTAACTTCATTCTTTACCATGTGGCTATTCAGTTGTGCCAGCACAAGTTCTTTTTTTTTCCTATCTGAATTTGTTTTTGATTGACATAGTTGATTTACAATATTCTGTAAGTTTCAGCTGTACAACATAGTGATTCACAATTTTAAAAGGTTATACCCCATTTATAGTTATTATAAAATATTGGCTATATTCCCTGCCAGGGCCATTTCTTAAAGAGACTATTCTTCCCCCATTGAATGGTCTTGGCACCCCTGTTGAAAATCAGTTGGCCATAGATGTGTGGATTTATTTCTGGACTTTTGATTCTATTCCTTGGATCAGTATGTGTTCTTACGCCAGTACCACACTGTTTTGATTACTGTAGCTTTGTATTATGTTTTAAAACCAAGAAGTATGAATCCTCCAGATTTGTTCTTTTTCAATATTGTTTTGGATATTCAGGATACCTTGCATTTCTGTATGAATTTCAGGATCATTTCTACAAAAAAGGCAGTTAGAATTATGATAAGGTTGTACTCAATCTATAGATGTATTTAGGGAGTATTGCCATCTTAACGATATTTAGTCTTCCAATCCATAAACAGAGGGTGTCTTTCTATTTCTTTAGGTCTTCTCTATTTTCTTTCAATAATATTTTGTAGTATTCAGCGTACAAGTCTTACACTTCCTTGGTTCAGTTTATTCCTAAGTATTTTATTCTTTTTGATGCTATTATAAATGAGTTGTTTCCTTAATTTCATTTTTGATTGTTCATGGGTAGAAGCTAGAAGAACTTTGAGAAGCATGATAGAGAAGACATAAATTACCTTGAACAGACTTAGGAGGAATCTGGATTTGGAGGAAGCTGTAGGGGAGGGCTCAGAAGGAAATGAGGAACATGTTATTAGAAACTGGAAGTAGGGAGATGCTTGTTATTTTGTGGCAGAGAGCTTAGTGAAATGGTCTCCTGTGGTCACGTGGAAAGCAGAACTTTTAAGTGATGATCTTGTTTGTATAGCTAAGGAGATTTCCAGTCAAAGTGTTGAAGGTGAGGCCTGATTTTTTTCTTGCTGCTTATAATCAAACATGAGATGAGAGAGATAAATTGAGGGAAAAACTATTAAACATAAAGAAACCAGGACTTGATGATTTTGAAAATTCTCAGTCTCTCTAGATGGCAAAAGATTCTAAATAAAGGAAGGCTATCAGACCCCCAAAATTCTACTGGCAGGAAGCAGCCTAATAAAATTACTTAGCTACAAACATGTGCTGTGTTTCATGAAAAAGGAAGGATGACTCAGAGGTCAAAACCAAGAGCTCAGAGGGTAGAGCAGAAAGCTGAGAGGATTATTTCCAGGCCTTAAAACTTAATGAAGGAACTCCCAGTATTTTCACAGCTGGATTTCAGAATTGCTGTGGATCCTTTTTTACTTTCGCCTCCCCGACCCCAGCCTTTTAACTGGAGTGTCTATAATGGTTATCTTTTTCCTGGCCCACTATTGTATGTTGGGTGTGTTGGGGTCAAATAACTTGTCTCTAGGAGTAGAATGGCTGGATTATATAGTTAGATGTTTATATACCTGTGTATATAAGCTTTAGTTTCATAGGTTTATAGATGGAAAGGAATTGTGCCCCAGTAATTTCACTTCCTGTATTACATCCAGGAACTTCATTCATACCAGGACCTGATTCAAAGTCTTTGGAGCTGATGCTGTAATAGATGATTCTCTTGGAAACCTTTGAAGGGAGTTGAATGTACTTTGCCTGTGGGAGCACATGAATCACTAAGGGCCAGTGGGAAGACTAGTGGACAAATTCCAAGGTGCACCCCCCACCCCCCGCCATGATTCTCAGCTCTTGATGTTCACACCTTCGTGTAAACCCCTCCCTTTGAGCATGGGCAGGACCTGTGACTTGCTTCAGATCAAAAGATGATGGTAAAAGTGATGGGATGTCACCCCCATGATTATGTTATGTAAGTTTCTGTCTTGCTAGCAGATTAGCTCTCAGTCTTTCTTGCTGGCTTTGGAGAAATAAGCTGCCATGACTGCTACAGCTACAAGAAACTGGATGCTTCCAAAAACACACAAAAGGGGAAGTGGATCCTTTCCTAGTTGAGCCTCTACATGAGAACCCAGCCTTAGCCAACACCTTGATTGCAGCCTTGTGTGATCTTAAGTAAACGACTAGCTGGCTGTTCCTGGACTTCTGACCCACAAATCTGTGAGATAATAAATGTGTGTTGTTTGAAGCTGCTAAGTTTGTGATAATTTTTATGCAACATAGAAAATCAATACAGACAATTCTTAAGAAGTTAAATATACATTTAACCATATAATTCAACGATTTCACTTGAAGAAATCTACCCAAGAGAAAAGGAAATATATGTCAAAATTCTTGTACACTAGTGTTCATAACAGCATTAATAGTCCAAAAATGAAAACAATCCAAATATCCATCAACAGATAAATGGATAAACAAGTTGTGGAACAATGGAATACAACTCAACAATAAAAGGAATAAATTACTGACACACACAGTGACATGGATGACTGTCAAAATGATCACACTGAGGGAAAGAAGCCGACAAAAGAAGAGTAAATACTACATGATACCATTTAAGCAGATAACTTGTCATTTGGGGATGGTGGGTCAGGCAGGGGCAGGAGGGAGGGATTACAAGGTTATTAACTTTGAGCATAATGGATATGTTCACTGTATTGATTGTCTCATGGTTTCATGGCTGTATACATAGGTCAACTTATCAGATAATACACTTGAAATATGATTGGTTTATTGTATATCAATTCTTCAATAAAGCAGTTTTTTAAATGTATTTGCACATGTTTTTTCTCACAAATAATTATATTCAAAGAGAAAGCACAATCTCTATCTAGTCATCATAGAGTAGGCCTTGTTACTCATCCACTCATTCCCAGATACTTTACAAATATCTGTTAGTTTCTATGAGAAATACAAATATGATTCTTTTGTACTAATGAACATATAATTTAATAGACTGGTTACGGTTTGGAAAGCATAAACAATTATTTTTTTATATTGTTTTCACAAAGAGCCTTACCAGAAGCAAATCCCTCCCAGTGACTACGTGTCAGCTGCTCCATACAGCTTAGGACCTTGCTCCACACATCGTCAAACACATAAGCAAGGACATCCTCTTTCATGCAGTAAAATGGAGCAATAGGTGGGTACCCTAATTTCTGTTTCTCTGTAGCTGCTTCTGATTTCTTTCCATGAAACCCCTCTTCCCTGTTAACAGAAGCAAGAAGGAAAGACTTCATGGTTATTCTTCACTGGGTGTCTTTTGGCTGCTTAGGAGTGTGATTTATGCTCCTCCCCGCCACCACCCCCTTCCTCCCCGCATATATAGCACAGGTATTAAACAGGCTTGTCAACTAAGGGAGTTTTCAACAGAGGAGACTCTGCATTTCCCTTTTTACATCCATCCCACCCCACCCCCCTACTCTGCCAAAAAAATAGAACAAGAAAAAGAAGACAGAATCATTGTACTTTTTTAAGCTTTAAATAGACGGGCATTTAAAATTGATCAACAAGCAACCTATGACAATTAAGCACACAAAAATACTCTTTTTGTTGTAACTGGATAACATTTAGATTAATATTAACTTGACACATTTAACGATGTGCATATAACTGTGATTATGCTGCATAATTATTTGAGGCAATGATTCATTAGGGAAGTAGTCCACATAGATTATTAAAATTAGTATACTTTTACTAATCCAAATAAACATTTGGTAATTGGCTGTAAAGGAAAAAGAGGGAAGCCCAACAGCACAGGAAACTACTCTGAGACTCTTCTGGAGACTGTGTATCTATAATCCAGAAACTTCCAGTTAGGCAAGGCTGTCTCTTCTCTGGCAATGAGTGCCAGTAGCCCCAGATTTCTGGGGGAAGAAAATTTGGCTGATGGATGTGCTTATCTATGACAGATGTATTATAAACTAAGACAAAGCAAATTCTGGAACTGGCTTGGGTGGAGAGAAGTACCTTTACAGTGAAAGTTACTCCTAGGGCAACAAAGTGCTCAAGAATGAAATAGGAAACTGTAAGCAAGTAAGAAGGATGCTAAGAGATTTAAGCAGGGCAGCCAGACTCCCTTTGCTTCTCCTCTCCCAGGGAAGAGCTAGCCTGGCATTAAGTGGCAGAGGAGGCTGATTAGCATTAAATGTATTTCAATTTATATTTCTTTTTAGAGGAGATAACATAGTCATATGATAGAAATTCAAATTGTATAGAAGGAAATATATGTATGTAGTGAAAAATAAGTCTCCTACATCTCTGTCCCCCAGTCCCCATTCTCAGAAGCAAACACATAGGTCCAGAGAGATAGTTACATTATACACTGTACTGCACCTCACTCTTCTGTCAATGTATCTTGTCCATGATCCCTATCAATGTATATAAATCTGCCTCTTTTAAAAAATAACTGCAACAAACAAACAAACAAACAAAAATAACTGCAGAGTATTCCATTGGATATACCATAATATATCTAACTAGACAGTTATTGATCAACTAACCTTTGCTTATATAATCAATACTGCAATTAATACGCTTCTACAGATATTCCTCAACTTACATATTGGGTTACAGCCCAATGAACTTATGAAAATATCATGTCAAGAATGCATTTAATAGGCCTAACCTATTGAACATTATAGCTTAGCGTAGCCCACCTTAAATGTGCTCATAACACTTACATTAGCCTACAGCTAAGCAAAATTATCTAATGCAAAAACTATTTTATAATAAAGTGTTGAATATCTCATGTAATTTATTGTATACTCTACTGAAAGCGAACAGCAGTGGTTGTATGGTTTTAAGTATATTGGTTGTCTACCCTCATAATTGTGTGGCTGACTGGGAGCTGCAGCTTGCTGCCGCTGCCCAGCATCCCGAGAGAGTATCATACTGCCTATCGCCAGCCAAGGGAAAAAAAATCAAAATTCAAAGTACAGTTGCTACTGAATATGTATCACTTTTGTACCATCGCAAAATCAAGAAATCATAAGTCAACTCATCTTAAGTTGGGAACAATATGTATGTACTTCTTTGGCTACATGGATATTATATCTGTAGGATAAATTCCTATAAATAGAATTATTGAGTCAAAGGGTATGTGCATTTCAATTTAAAGAGGTGGTATACATAGGATCCAGAAAGTATACTCTCGGGCATTTATCCCAGAGACATAAAAATTTTTGTTCATATAAAAATCTGTGCGTGAATGTTCATAGCAGCTTTATTAATAATAGCCAAAAGCTAGAAATAGCCCAGGTGTCCTTCCACAGGTGCACAAACTGTGGTACATCCATACCATGGAACGTGCTGACAATAAAGAAGAATAAATTTTTGATAAACCTAAGTAAATAAATAAATAGGTGGTATAATTCTCCAGTAGTGAAAGAATATGCCTCTTTTCTCATTCAAGGAATTATTAACCTTTATCTTTTGTCCTTTGATAGTCTGACATGTAAAAGAATACTCATTATAGTTTTAATTTGTATCTCTAATTGTGAATGAATTCCATTTCATATATTTAAAATCCATTTTCTTATAATGTGAACTATTCATGTTCTTTGTTTCATCTTTAATCTTTTCCTTACTGATATACATATTAAGGAAATTAAGCCTCTGTCTATGCATGAACTGCAAATATTTTTGCCAGTTTGTCATTTGTCTTTTGACTCTATGAATTTTTTCTATGCAGAAATACTATTTTATGCAGTTTTTTAAAGAATTTCCTAAATGACTTGTAGATTTTGTGCTATGGTTAGAAAGACCTTCCCTATTCCCAAGTTATTTAAAAAAAAATCTTTCATATCTCATTTTCTTCCAAACTTACATGATTTCATTCATCACATCTCAATATCTCAGTGATATCTCTAAAGAGAAGACTGCCTTTCTAAAAATCTTCCATTTTACCTGAAAATTCATTTCGGTTTACTATCAGGAAAGGGGAAGAGATGCCCCAGGGACACCTATGAGCCATGAACATCACATTTTAAATTAGTTAAATCTGCTGTATTTTTTATAAGCTAAAATGAAGGGAAAAGACCTTTGAGGAAAAAGGAAGAGAAAATATGGATAATTTGACTCAGGCCAGATGAAGTGAAAGGGAAGGGGGCAATCTCTGCAAAACCAAAACAGCATACTTATGATTCCCTTGGAACAATGAGCTAGCTCAACGGTGTTATGTTTGGAAATCTGGGTTGTGTTTACCTGACCCTAGGACTGTGTACCTTGAGCATGTAGTAAGCATGGCTCAGTAGGAAATATGGGAAGAAGTCCAGAATCATGTGACACTAACTAGACCTAACCACAGCCTCACAGCCTAAAATGAAATTCTCACTTCTAGATGTACTACTGTGACTATCAATTCTGAGCTTTTAAAGGCTTAGAGGAATAATTTAAGAGTTTAATATATCAGAAAAGTAGCATGGAATAGTGAAGAGAGCACTGGATTTAGAATCAGATGAATAAAGTTTTCATGAGTTACTGGTGATACTTTACAAAGAGGAAAATCAAATTATGTGGAGAAAAAAATTCATTTAAAAAATGTTTAATCTCAGGAAGAGGCAAATGACGTGTGCAGGAAGAAAATATACAAGGAAGACTGGTATGTGAAAGCAATAGGAATTTATATCAACTAAGTACATGACACTGGATAACTGAGAACTAATAGAAAAGAAATAAACAGACATCAACTTAATTATAGGTAATATTGGTAGTATACTTTAGAAAGAATAGATATTAACAACAAAATAGCAGGGGAGTAAAAAGTTTAAAAGACATAATACTCACATATCTGTGTGGTCGAATGCTAGGTATTCCTCTATTATTCCTTCCGAGAAGATTATACAGTCTTCCTCTTCTCTTTCCATAGAACACAAGCTAGGGGATTTGGCAATGGAAGATGCTTTAGGAGCATATGAAGATGAAAAATGTAACTTCTTTCCCCTAATACCAAATCTGGAAGAGGAAAAATATTAATTATGTTCAACATAAACAGTTCTCAAAGGAACTCATTCGCACAAGTTTCAGCTCAAGGTCCCTTGCCCTAGTGACACCTTCCTGGGCTACTCTAAACCTTAATACCTGTTATTTCTCAGAACAGGAATAAATAAATACTAGCCATAGACCCACTCTGCTTAGGTATATTATGCACTATTGAATACTGCTTGCTATCTTTTCAGATGCAACAGCTATGGCTATAAAACAAGTTTTTAAAAAAAATCTAATAATATTTACATTCATAATTAGCTCTTTAAAGTACCTCAGGAGGTTATATGCTTATTTCAATAACTCCGTCATTGTTCAAAATGTATACTCCTAAAGGGCAAGTATCTTCCCTTACTTATATTTAAATATCTCATCCTACCCAGTTATTCAATGAATATATGATGACGCCTTCACTTCAGCAGGTTTACTTTGGAGAAAGTCAGTCAAATCTGAGCAGTACAATTTTTTAAATGGCTCTCAGTTTAACCAAATATTAAATATAGCCAATGTATGTGTTATTCTTTATACCTTTTTGTACCTTAAGTATTTTTTAAACAATGAAAAAAGAATAAACCTATGGCACTTTTCAGCAAGGCTAGTGGGAAAATCTTTTTGGAAGACATTTTGGAAATATGTATTAGAAGCCTTAAAACAGAAATACGCTTTGATTCAGTGGTTTCATTTGTAGGGGATTTCCTTTGAGGATATGACCTATAAGATTTAGCTATAAAAATTACCATCACAGAACTGCTTATAATGGCTAAAATTCAAAACTGGCCCAACTGTTTCAAAATACAGGATAGGGGATTGGTTGTTTAAATAATGGTATATTCATGCAGTGGAATTCTGTGAGGTTACTAAATTAATGTTGGGGGACAAAATGGAAGATTCCCATAATGGTAATTATAAAAAGATTACAAAATATGTACAGTAATTTCAAAAAACTCTATACATATGTGGCAGAGAATGCTAGGTGCCCCCAATATCGATTCTCCCTGCCTCTCCTAATACATCATGCCAATTTAATTCAGGAGAGCAATACACGCACCTCAAAGATGACACTTCCCACCACCTTGCAGCCAAATGTGACCAATGAGATATGAGCAGAATTGTTATGTGGGACTCTGGGGAGGCTGTTTAAAGAGAACTGGGTTAGCTTTAAGGGCTGCCCTTTTGCCCTTCTGCCTTTCCTGCTTCCTGCTACCTGGAAAGTGAATGTCCTGTTTGGAACTCTATCAGCTGTCTTGGACCACCAAAAAAAACCCCCCAAAACTCAGGAAAAGTATCCTGGGCTAGCACAATGTAGCAGAAAGATGAAATGAGTGTAGGACCCTGAAAACACCATACTACCACTGTACTATCTTTAGATACCCTTCCTCCAGACTTCTTTTAAAAGAGAAATTTCTCTGTTATGTAAGCCATTAAATAAGGTGTATGGTTCATAGGAAGTGGTTGGAAGGGTATTAGGCCAGACTGTGAAGTACTTTATTAACTTTGGCTAATTGATAGCAATGGAATTGAAGTTTTTAAGAAGGGGAATGACAGCATCCTTGCTTTAAAAGATCACTATGGTGGTGATGAAGAGGATAATGTGGTTAGGAGGCTAGTGCAAAAGATGAAACAAGAGCTGGTAAGCTGATGAGAGCCTGGACCATGGCAGGAGGCATGGGGGACAGAGAGACAATAAGAGATGGGAAAACAGTTTGAAGAACAAATATATCAAAACCAGCTGGTATTACCGTTTATAAAAGTCTCTAAACTTGAGACTTTAGGTTTTTTAAGTCTCTGTTCTGAAATTCTAAAACAGTGATACCCAAAATCTAGTCAATAGATTTATGGCAATCCATGACAAAATTTTTACAGATCCACATCAAAAATAAGCAAAATAAGAACAATGCTCAGTAAGACTACAAAATGCCCTTTCTTGAAAAGGACTGTCCTTATTTTGAGACATGCTTTTTTGTGTTAATATGTCATTTCTTTTATAAAACAGTGGTGTTAGTATTTTTTTTCAACATGACAACATGACAAAATTAAAAGCTGTCAAACCCATGTCAAACACTGCACTCCCAGCATTCCTTATGTTATTGTGCTACTGTATCGTTCCATTTGTATTATTAACCAATCATTTTTTAGTCAGTGGTAACTAATGGAATTACTTGCTCTGAAAAAAAAAATAGGCTTTTCTAACGAAGTATAGGCCTTTTTGTCAGTTAAAAAAATTTTCAGTTAGATGAGAAGGAAAAGTGTTCCCATTTCCCCTAAAGCTGCAGCAAAGAACAGATAGTATTCTACATCATAAAGCTGTCTTTGCAAATGTTGTTTCTAACAAAAGGATCTTTTAAATCATCAGACTTCAGAGATTACCATGTCTGGAAAATAAACTTTAACTTCTAAAATGTTTGTTAATTCTCTTACTTACTAAAAATATAACAGTGGTCTTATCTAATAATGTATTGCCCTGATAGTAATATTTAAGTTCAGATCTGTTTTCTTGTGAGCGGAAAGAAATCATTGCCACTTTATTCTTCTCCCACATGCATGGAGGATAAAATGACTTTGCTGGGTTTCTTATTTAAACAAAGAGTTTAATTTGGAGCCACCCCTCAGGTGTAGGCCTTAGGAGGCATAATTCTGCGGCCTTCATGGAGGTGATCACTGCAAGGCCCTCCAGGTTGGCTAGGAGGAACAAGTGGCCAAGAGCTCTCTCCTTCCTGACTAGGATCTGAAAAGTACAACTAACCACTCTCAACTCCATTTCAGACCAAACTTATCTTCCAGTGGACCTCTAGAGATGATCAAAATAGAGGAAAGTTACATGAAGTTGTGATCTCATGATGCCAAAAGGAAGAAAATATAACTTAGTACACTAGGAAAGAAAATATGATTGTGGACGGCCCTAACAGTAGAAAAACTTAAAGAGAACATCTCCATGGTTTTGGAGAGCTTCAGAAAGCTCTTTATGTCTGAAAAAGTCTGATTTGTAATTAGCTTGACTGGGCTCTTGCATTTAGGACAGTTGTAAAAAAAAAAAAAAAAATCAAAGAAAATGAAAGCAAAAGCTATAATTTGTAATGAGTGACATGAGGGAGGTGGGCTTAGGAGAAACCATACCATGTCACTTTAATGATTTTTTAAAAACTGTGGTGAACAATGTAAGATTAAATACACCATCATAAGCATTTAAAACCATACAGTTCAACAGTGTTAAGTATGTTCACATTATTGTTCAACAGATCTCTTGAACTTTCTTATATTGCAAAACTGAAACTCTGATATCCATTAAACACTCATTGCCCCTTCCCCTTCCTCCCCTCCCTTTGGCAGCTCCGCTTGTACTTTCTGTTTCTATGATTTGACTACTTTAGATACTAAAGATGGCTGGAATCATATTGTATTTGTCCTTTTGTGACGAGCTTATTTCACTTAGCATAATATCTTTGAGGTTCATCCCTATTGTAGCATGTGACAGGATTTCCTTCTATAATATTCCATCGTATGTATATACCACATTTTCTTTTTTTTAATTGTATTTTATTTATTTATTTTTGGTTGCGTTGGGTCTTTGTTCTGTGCACAGGCTTTCTCTAGTTGTGGCGAGCCGGGGCTACTCTTCGTGGCGGTGCATGGGCTTCTCATTGCAGTGGCTTCTCTTGTTGCAGAACACAGGCTCTAGGCGCACGAGCCTCAGTAGTTGTAGCATGTAGGCTCAGTAGTTGTGGCTCGCGGGCTCTAGAGCGCAGGCTCAGTAGTTGTGGCGCACGGGCTTAGTTGCTCCACAGCACGTGTCCCCTGCATTGGCAGGCAGATTCTTAACCACTGTGCCACCAGGGAAGCCCCCCTTTGTCCATTTTTTAATTGGGTTATTTTTGTTGTTGTTGTTGAATTGTAGAAGTTCCTCATATATTCTAGATATTAGCTCCTTATCAGACATGCAATTTGCAAATATTCTCCCCCATGCCATAAGCTGCCTTTTCACTCTGATGATTGTTTCTGTTGACGCACAGAAAATTTTGAGTTTGATGTAGTCCCATCTGTCTACTTTTGCTTTTTGTTGCCTAAGCTTTTGGTGTTCTATCCAATAAATCATTGCCAAATCCAATATCCTGAAGCTTTTCCCCTGTGTTTTATTCTAGGAGTTTTAATAGTTTTAGGTCTTCCATTTAGGTCTATAAAATCCATTTTGAGTTAATTTCTGTATATGGTATAAGGGTCCCACTTCATTCTTTTGCATTCTTTCCCCAGCACCATTTGTTGAAGAGACTGTCCTTTCCACATTGTGTAGTCTTGGCGCCCTTGCTGAAAATTATTTACTCATAAACGCAGAGGTTTATTTCTGAGCTCTCCATTCTTTAATGATTTTTTAAGGGTTATAATTCTGCATATAGTCATATACTTTAGCAACTTATTAGATATTATAGTTAATTTTTGTTGAGGTATGTATTTAAAGTAAGGGTAGGTAAGCCCCTTAAGCTAACTTGAAGCAGATGACTGCATAGTTTCTTTTCAAATGGAAATGTCCTCAGACTCATCTTCTTCATGGTCCTTTTCTGGCCTGTGTTTTCTCCTTATGCTGCCACCATCTTCTATTGTTATAAAGTTCCTGGAATTCCATTTTGACCTAGACACTAATTTGTTTTGATTGATAACATTGTTTTGCAACCATAATATCAATTAATTCATTTTCATGGAGTTTGTTTTCATATAAATATGATTTAGTAAAAAAAAAATAAGTTGATGCTAACCATGTTCTACGCATTGTGTGAGGTGTTAGAGATACAAAAAGGAAGAGACTGTATTTTTATGTTGTTTATTATACTACTCTCCTCTGGCCCAAGAACTCCTCAAGAATGGAAGCTGGACCGAATACCTTGTTTAGTACATTTGAGATTTGAAAGAAATCCAGTGTGGGAGGATTAATGAATGAGAGAGAGAGTGACAGAAGATAAAGGTAGAGATGTAGGCTGGGGCCAGCTTATGCTATAATTTTAGATTTGTATCTTAAATTCACTGGGAAGCTATTGAAGATTTTTAAGTGGGGACAGAAAGGATTAATGCTGAACTTTAAAAGGAGAATCTGATGTAATGTGGAGAGGCAAGAATGGATACAATTTGAAATGTTATTTTTGTAGAAAGTAGATGATCAACCTCATATTTTATGGAAAACTGATTTGTTAAACTGAAAAATATCAAAATGAATTCTTGACACATTTTTTCACACCACTTATTAGAAAAAGTGGCAGAACTGCAGCATCATCACCAGCTTACATACCCTCACTATCCAAATTTTGTTCTCAAATACTAGTAGCCTCTCAAAGGAATTAGATTTCCTTGAATTTCAGCTGATACCATGCCTTAAAGGAAGAAACAATTTTTTTCCAGGATGGGCCTGGAGCATCCTATTGTAACCAGAAAACAAGGATACATTCAAGACAAAAACAAAGGAACTAGCTTGACATGGCCAAGTTGTAACAATCTGAGCATCAATAATAATTATGGTTAATTAAAATATATAAATTTTTTTTTTTTTTTTTTTTTTTGCGGTACGCGGGCCTCTCACTGCTGTGGCCTCTCCCGTTGCGGAGCACAGGCTCCGGACGCGCAGGCTCAGCGGCCATGGCTCACGGGCCTAGCCGCTCCGCGGCATGTGGGATCCTCCCGGACCGGGGCACGAACCAACGTCTCCTGCATCGGCAGGCGGACTCTCAACCACTGCGCCACCAGGGAAGCCCAAATATATAAATATTTTGAAACGCAATGAGTTCATTAATGGTACTCAAGATAGAAAATATCAAGTATGGACAAAGTGGTAGTGATATGAAAATAAATATGGATTATATTTAATTTGTTATTATTTTCAATAAGTAGTGACATGCTAATATAGCTGAATAACTTGTTTCATTTAAATATATGTCTGTATATAAAGTATAGATAGGTAATTGTTTCATCTGTATAGTAAAGAAAGGTAATTATTGAAAACTGTAAGTCAAATAATCCAGAAAAGCAGAACGAAAAATAAGAAGCACCAAGCAGCAGTGGTGGTAGCAAGTAAAAAGGAAAGAAAGGTTGCCTGTACTAAGTTGCAGAATGATGATTTAGCCAGATGTCCTAAAAAAGGAGGAGCTAACTGCTCAGATTTGTTCCTTATTTCTTTGGAATCTCTAAATGGAACTGCTGTTTATAGTTATAAAATAATAAGGCATATATAAAGTTTATACTAATAGATCAGGTAAATATATCTTAATAGCAGGACATAAGTTATGTAATTTTGGTCAGTGAGAATTAAAGGATACATCATTTCTGTGGTAGACATTAGTTTGTAAAAGTCTGACCTTTATATAAAAGGAGTAAACTTAAAAAGGCTTATTGATGTAATACATGAGGTTTAAATTTAGAAAGAAAGCTCAGCCTAGTGACCAGAAGCTTGAGCTTAAATCACTTTGAAAGAAGTAAACAAATCCCATTCTCTGACCAAAAATCAGTTAGTTGATAACCCAGATCCCATAACCTTAACTGGCCTAAGACAATAATGTTTTACTTTGTGGTCTGATGAAATTACTACAAGCCCAAAAAGGCATCAAAAGAAAGTATTACTACAACTCTCAGAAGGTATCAGTATAAGTAAAATTACAGTCTTAGGAAAAAGTAAAGGAATTTATTTATTTACTTATTTATTTATTTGGCTGTGGTGGGTCTTAGTTGTGGCACATGGGATCTTTAGTTGCGGCATGCAGGCTTCTTAGTTGCGGCATGCGGACTCTTAGTTGCAGCATGCATGCAGGATCTAGTTCCCCAACCAGGGATTGAACCCAGGCCCCCTGTATTGGGAGCACAGAGTCTTATCCACTGGACCACCGGGGAATTCCCAATATTTTTAAAAAGTAAAAATAAAAATAAAGAGTTTGAGGTGTTAAAGAATTAGCCATTTTAGCTAGTATACTAATTACCCATTTTAAGCTGATAAACTAATACCAGTTTAACTTCCATAAAGAAATTAAGTTTTAATTAGTATTATATGTTTAAGAAAATGACTTTTCAAAATTTTTTTCAAAAAAATTTTAAAGTCTGTTTCTTAGATCCCTGAATTTCTTTAAACCAGTCTATCTACACATTTATTCCAAGAGGGAAGTGCCTAGATTTATAGATAGACGTAGATATATATGAATCTGAATAACCCTTAAATCCTAGAGAATGTCTTACTTTTGAACAAAAAACTAAGTAACAAAATTCTAATATGCATAAAGACTATGGTCAATCTTACAGAATTTGCTGTGCTTTACTAAATACCAATAAATAGGAAGAAGTATTTTAATCCCTTAGTATAACTGGTAGAATATAATACTTGCACATTAGAATACATAAGTACTTACATATTAGAATACTTACATAGTAGAATCTCTTTCTTGAGACAGTGTTGCCTCATGTGAAGCTGAAACAGCAGAAGGGGATCTAGGATACAGTCCATAACCTTCACTTGGAGTGATTATCTGCCTACCCAGAATCCTTCAAAGTGAAGAACATAAAGAGATAATTAAGCACCTTCACCTGGCATACATACAAAATGTAGGTATTTTTGGAACAAATTTGATGGCTCTACATAGAAATCTAGTACATACCTAGTCCGTTACTGATTTAGAATGATTCTTGAGAGAAATGTGAATCTAGAGCCTTTTTAAAGGTATATCTCTCTCCTATACAATGGAGATAGAAAGGATAAAGCTTTTCCACCCCACTGAAAAAAATCCAAGGGAACTGGGCAAACATTTGTAATTTTCCCTCCATCCCCTATAGCAATCTTCATTAAATTTGCCAAAGTGGGTGAAAGCCAGGCCAAATTAGTGACAACTGAATTATATTCTTAAGAACATGAAGCTTTATAAATTTTAAGTATGTGTAGTAAGTGCACTAATGCGGTTTCTAAGGAAAGCTTCCTAATAGCCTATGTTTGCTTTCAAGTATACATGCATAAGAATTTACTTATAGACAACAGTGTAATCAAATACATTTTCTGACCCTCTTGTTCAAAAGAAAGGCTGTTTGGACAGCCACAGTACTACACAGATCACAGTTACTGGTATAGAAGTTGTTTTTACTTGATTAGGACAATATATTGGTAGTTATGAAAACTCCAAGAAACTTCCATCAACATGAGTTTTCTGTCATCTGAGGCTTTATACCACATTGCCTCATTTATATAAATCCATGCCCATAGAGATTTCAGAATACAAGCTTTCTTGGAAATCTGCTCTTCAAATTTTAGTATTAGCCATGAATATACAAGGGCTCCAATACCTGAGGTGAGGAAAGCTACATGTCCACTGTTGGCACTCTTCTTGTAGACTTTTAATATGTACACTCAACTTCTGCTCATACAAGAGCTCGTCAATGGCTGTGAACATTGCGTGGACTTTTGCAGTGGCATTTTGATCAAGTTCCTAAAAGAAATTATCACCCCAAAATATTTAGATGAGCTTCAATCTCTGTTAATAATCATAAAGGTTGAAAGCAATCAGATTCTGTTTTATTTTCAATATTTAGTCCATTTGTGTGAAAGAAAAGTTAAGTTAGTGAGTTTGGGGATCTTACAATATTCAGATGGCCTCCCTAAATCCTATTTAAAGAAAATTTGTGGAAATATCTACGTTTTTAAAGTAACATTTTCTTCATCAAAAAAATTCAGAAAAGTATAAAGAAAGATAAAAATTACCAGTAATTCTACCACTCAAAGATAATGATTGTTAATTTTATTATAGTTGCTTGGTTCCAGTATTATTTTTAGAGCATAAGGTAGACAGTCAATCCCATATATATATTACTTTGTAGTCTGCATTTTTCACCTGACAGTTTACATTAAATCTTTGCCCTATAATTTATCCTTTTGCAGCAGCCAAAAGGATGGCTATAAAATGTGAATCTGATCATGTTATCTGATTCTCTGCTTACTCTCTACTTCATCTGTTTTTATGTGCCCTTTTACATTCTGGTGGAAGAAAAGTTACACCTTTTTTTTCTTTTTGCGGTACGGGGGCGTCTCACTGTTGTAGCCTCTCCCGTTGCAGAGCACAGGCTCCGGACGCGCAGGCTCAGCGGCCATGGCTCACGGGCCCAGCCGCTCCGCGGCATGTGGGATCTTCCCGGACCGAGGCACGAACCCATGTCCCCTGCATCGGCAGGCGGACTCTCAACCACTGTGCCACCAGGGAAGCCCCTAGGTGATTTTCTTAGTTCTCTCATTCAATTCACTACTATTCTGTTTCACTGGGTCCAGTTTACATATAGTAGTTATGTCCAGTTATCTACTCAGATATTTCAAATGCTATTCATGTCTAAGATTTTAAACTGAATTTTCATATCTGTCTTTTCTTAAATTAAAATCTCTACCTGCTTTGTTTTAAAACCTCCAATAATTTTAATGGATGCTATCTTATCCCTTAACTCTTTGAGTATTTTAAAAGTTTAATAAACCTTATTGAGGAATAGTTTACATACAATAACATTTCAGGTATCTACAGCACAATGACATTTGACAAAGGTATTCACCCAAGTAACCACCATTGTTTTCCAGATGTAGAAGAACATTTCTGATACCCCAGAATGTTCCCTCATACCCCTGTGCAACTGAAGTTTCCTGTTCTCCATGTCATGAAACCATTGATCTGATTTATAGCACTATAAATTAGTTTTGTCTGTTACAGAACTTCATATAACCAGGATCATGCAGGATGTACATTTTGTGTTTTGCATTATATACATATATCAAATTATTACTCTGTATACCTAAAAGTAATGCAATGTTATATGTCAATTATATCTCAATTTTTAAAAAGAAAAAAGAAAAGGAGAAAAAAAGACATGAGATACATTGTGAGGATAAAATACACAAAACTTGATGACAGATTCAGTGAGAGAGGTGGAATGTTTTTCAGCAGAATGTTTTTGAGGTTCACCGATGTTGTTGCATGTGTTAGTATTCATTACATTACATTCACTACATAGTATTGCGTTGTAAGAATATGCCACGATTTGTTTATCCATTCTCCTGTTGAGGGACATTTGCATTATTTACAATATTTTTTATTATAAGTAAATATATGAACATTCATGCACAAATCTTTTTCTGGACATATATTTTTATTTCTCTCAGATAAATACCTAGCAGTAGAATTACTGGTCTTATAATGAGTGGATGTTTAATGTTAAAATAAACTACTAAAACTATATCACAGAATAAATGTACAGGTTAGCACTCCCACAAGAAATGTGTGAGCATTAAATATGCTCCACATCCTGGCTAATACTAGGTATTGTCAGTCTTTTTAGTTTTAGCTATTTTAGTGAGTGTGTATCATGACCGTTTTAAATTTGCATTTCCTTGATGATAATGATATTGAGCATCTTTCTATATGCTACTTGGCCATTCATATGTTTTCTTTTACAGAGTGTCCAAGCTTTTTGCTCATTTTTTTTCATCTGGTCTATTTATCTCCTTCATATGGAGTTTTAAGCTTTGGATACAAGTCCTTTGTCAGATATATGTATTGCAAATATTCTCTCCCAGTCTGTGGCTTGTTCTTTCATTTTCTTGATAGTGTATTTGGGAACACAAAAGATTTTAATTTTGATGGAGTCAAATTTATCCATTTTTTTAGGCTTGTGCTTTTGTTGTGTCATATCTATGAATTCGTTGCCTAATCCAGAGTCTTGCAGGTTTTCTCATACATTTTCTTCTAAAAGAATGACAAAGGCTTCCCTGGTGGCGCAATAGTTAGGAATCCGCCTGCCAATGCAGGGGACACGGGTTCGAGCCCTGGTTCGGGAAGATCCTACATGCTGCAGAGCAGCTAGGCCCCTGCGCCACAACTACTGAGTCTGCGCTCTAGAGCCCACGCGCCTAGAGCCGGTGCTCCGCGGCGAGAGAGGCCACCGCAATGAGAGGCCCGCGCACGGCAATGAAGAGTAGCCCCCGCTCACCGCAACTAAAAAAGAAAGCCCACGCGCAGCAACAAAGACCCAACGCAGCCAAAAATAAATAATTAAAAAAAATAGAATGCCAGTTTTTGCACTTACATTTAAGTTTATAATTAATTTGAGTAAGTTTTCTGTATGATGTAAGGTAAGGGTCTGAATTCATCCAATTTGCATATGGATATCCAATTGTCCCAGCAACATTTATTGGAAAAAATATCCTTTCCCTGTTGAATTGTCATCACCAAAAGTCAATTGACCATAAATATGAGTTTATTTCTAGATTCTCTGTTCTGTGCCATTGAATTATAGGCCTATCCTTATGCCATTACCATACTGTTTTGATTACTGTACCATTAAGTTTGAAATGTGATAGAGTAAGTCCTCTGTCTTCTTTTTTAAATTAATTAATTTACTTTATTATTTATTTTTGGCTGAGTTGGGTCTTTGTTGCTGTGTGCAGGCTTTCTCTAGTTGTGGCGAGCAGGGGCTACTCTTCATTGTGGTGTGCGGGCTTCTCATTGTGGTGGCTTCTCTTGTTTCAGAGCATGGGCTCTAGGCACGCGGGCTTCAGCAGTTGTGGCTCGCGGGCTCAGTAGTTGTGGCGCACGGGCTTAGTTGCTCTGCGGCATGTGGGATCTTCCCAGACCAGGGCTCGAACCCGTGTCCCCTGCGTTGGCAGGCGGATTCTTAACCACTGCACCACCAGGGAAGTCCATGTCTTCTTTTTCAAAATTGTTTTGACTAATCTGGGTCTTTTGCAATTCCATGTCAATATGGATCAGCTTATCAGTTTCTACAAAAAGCCTGATGGGATTTGAATAGGGAATGCATTGGATATATAGATCAATTTGGGGAGAAATGCCATCTCAGTATTTAGTCGTCCAATCCATGAACATGGAATGTCTCTTATTTGTTTATATTTCATTTTTCTCAGCAATGTTTTAAATTTTTCAGTGTATAAGTCTTGTTCTCCTTTCATTAAGTTTATCCCTAACAATTTTTTGTTCTTTGTGAATTGAATTTATTTTTAATTTTCACTTTCAGATTATACATTACTAATGTGTAGAAATACAATAGGTTTTAAAAATTTAGATACAATTCCCATATGATGAAATTCATCCTTTTAAAGTGTAAAATTTAGTGGTTTTAGTGTATTCCCAGTGGTTTGTAGCATATGCACAGTTGTGCAACCATCACAACTATCTAATTCTAGAACATTTTCACCCCAAAAGAAACCCTGGCTCCATTAGCCATCACTCTCCATTCCTCTCTCTGCCCAGCCCCTACCCACTACTGATCTACTTTCTGTCTCTATAGATTTGCTCCTCTGGATATTTCATATGTATGAAACCATGTAACATGTGGCCTTTTGTATCTGGCTTCTTTTACTTTGCATGTTTTCAAGGTTCATCCATAGTGTAGCATGTATTAGTATTTCTTTCCTTTTTATAGCTGAATAATATTACATTACATAAATATACCACATTTACAATTGATTTTTGTAAATTGATCTGATATACTGTGACCATCCTGAACTCATTTCTTAGTTCTAGTAGATGGAGTTGGGGTGGGGGCAGAGGGAAAGTTTTAGGATTTTCTACATCATGTCATCTGTGAATGAAGATAGTTTAACTTATTCCTTTCCACTGTGGATGGCTTTTACTTCCTTATTTTGGTCTATTGCACTGACTAGAACCTCCAATACAATGCTGAATAAAGGTGGCAAGAATGGACATCTTTATCTTGTTCTGATCTGAAGAGGAAAATATTCAGTCTTTTCCCATTACATACACTATTAGCTTTAGGTGCCTTTTGTCAGGTTGATGAAGTTCCCTTTTATTTTCTAGTTTTGTGAGAGTTTTTATCATGAGTGGGTGTTGGATTTTATCATATGCTTTTTCAAAGTGTCTATTGAGATAATCATGTCAGTTTTTCACATTACTATAATGTATTAATTTAATTTTCTGATGTTGAACCAGCTGTGCATTCGTGGATAAATCTCACTCAGGGTAAATAATCCCTTTATGTTGCTAGATTAGGTTTGCTAATAATTTAAAGTTTTTTGTATAATTTCAAGAGGAATATTAATTTGTAGTTTTCTCTTCATGTGATGCCTTTGTCTGACTTTGGTGTTATAGGATGGCCTCATAGGATGATTTAGGAACCATTCCCTCTTTTCTGAAAGATTGGTATTATTTCTTCTTTAAATATTTAAGCATATATAGAAATACAGTTGACGTTTTTATACTGACCTTGTATCTTGTGGCCTTGTTAAACTCATGTATTAGTGCTAAGCAGTTCTGTTTGTTCATTTTGTGAATTCCTGAGAATTTTTTACATACAGAATTCTTTTCTTCTGGTGTCTTTGTCTGGCTTTGGTATCAGGGTAATATTAGCTTCACTGAATGAGTTGGGAAGTGTCTCTTCCTCTATTTTCTGAAAGGGTTTATGAAAGATGGTTATTATT